CTCCCATGGTTTCACAGTTTGAGTTGAAAATCATTCAGTCAAATAATCTTTGTGGAGTGCCTTTATCTTATGACTTGGACACAGAACAGAAGTCTTCCCTGAAAATAGGAAGAAAGCAGGACAATGACATTGTTTTGCCAGATCCAAACATTTCACGACATCATTGTGAAATGGAATGGAAAAATGGAAAGTATTGGGCCTTGAAGGATTTAAAGAGTGCCAATGGCACTTTCTGCAATGGCAAGCAACTACCTCATTCAAAGTGGGTTCGCATTGAGGGAGACGATTTGATTGGTTTGGCAATTTGTGGTGAAGCTGGCAATCAAATACCTGGTCAGGGGATTGTCATGAGAATCATTCAGCGATTGGATGAAACCTCTTCTGACACAACAGAGGTAAATGTGGAAGTTGCTCCTCCAATTAACATAGAAACCCCTGCCAGAAAAACCAAAGTGCAGATGGAAACAGTAGATGGTCCATTGTCAATAAAGCCACCATCTTTGAATGAGCAACCTTACCCATCTGGTGAAAGATTCAAAGGGAATGGTCCCATTCCTAAAGTCCTACCACTGCCTGCCAAGGATGAGTCTGATTGTTCTGGTGAAAGCTCTCAAGGGAAAGACTTCATTCCTGTCATCACACTTGACTCAGATGAAGATCGTGATGAGAAGCCCAAGTTCTTACAAAGTGAAAGAGGGAGGTCATTAGCAGGAACCACTGTTGTCAAAACCCAAATCCCCATAACACATGAATTGCTATCACTGGGTGAAACCTCTAGAAAAGACAATGGATTAGACGATCCTGTGAACCCAGGTCAAGAACAACTTGGACAGGAAATGCCACAACTTGAATCCCCCAAGCCTGGGCATTTAGGAAATAGGTTGGTCTGTATTGAACTGAAAGAAGCACATTGTCACTTTAAGCCTGAAACAGTTGAAGAGCATGCCTTAGTTCAAGACATGATCACCAAGAAACGAGAACCTAGGATTGTTCTGATGAAAAGTGAAGTTCCTAAAAATCATGCCTCTTCATCAAATGAGATGCCTGCTCCTTCCACATCTGCTTGCCAGGAACAATCCTATCTCAATAGCAAGGAGGAAAATGAAGAACCAGAGTCATCAAAGGATGCCTCGTGTAGTCAATTTGACTATTCCCAAGATGATGACATTGTGGTGGTGGATGATGATGAATACATGTCATCCTCACAATTAGTTATAGATATAGGAGAGGATGATGATGACTCTCAACTAAACTCCTCTTTGGAATGTCCAGAAGACAATGATCCAGAATTGGCACAAGTAGAGGACATTGGACATATTGGTGAAAATGATGATGTTGTGTTGCTTGATACATCAGGACCAACACCTTTGCCCATCAAAATGGAAGAGTTTCACGAGGAAAAAGTTTCAACTTCCATTACCTCGATTACAAAGGAACCCCCTACTGAAGAGCCACATATTCCAAGAAAAGCGCAGATGATTGAACCCTTGCCTCAGCATGCTAAAAAGAGAAAACACTCTGACCCACAACCTATTCAGAGTTCAACATCATCATGGATAGAAATACCTCCAAAGACTTTCTTTGGAGAGACATCTTTAGCAGAATCAAGGAAGGATGAGGAACGTAGGAAAAGGAGGAAAAAGGAGAAGGAGAACAAATCAAAGAAATCCTCAAGGAAAGATGTCCCTTGGAAAGTAAAAAGTTTAGAGGATATTCGGCGTGTGCACAAGCGGGCACATGAGCGCATGGAGAAACTGAGACAAGAGAAGAGGCATAAAGGTGATGTTGTCTTGAAAGAAGTTAAGCGAGCTGTGATAGTCCAGAAATCTTCTGCTCAAAGTAGTAAAATTCCCTCCATTTCCACATCTCATCCCCTTGAAGCTGACACAAGACCCAAGAAGGTCAAAGTGAAATGTACAGAAAAGAATCGTGGAGCCTTCCTCACCGTCAGTACCCATGAGGCTAAATCCTCTAAAGTTAAATGCCAGAAACCACTACTTGCAGTACGTCCTTCAGCACAGGTACCTTCTGTGCCAATGCCAGTTGAGAATCAACGTCAGCAATCATGTGCTTCCAACACAACTATCCGTGTGAATGATACTGTCGTCAGTGAAGCCACTAGTACAAATGGAATTGTGGATGGAGATGTCGCTGAGGTACGACGCAACATGGCTGTACGCCGCCAGGGTAGGCCACAAGCTTTTCGCCTTGTTGGTTGTGATGATCGCCTAGGTGAGTCTCACCAGACTCAGGAGAAGCATTCTCTTGATGAATTGGTGCATAAAATTATCAGGTGGAAGGTCAAATGGATTGAGGAACAGCACAGATTGGGTGACCGCTTTCCTCCCCCATTGCTGGGCAATATGAATTTCCTGAAGATTCCCCTGAAGTTTGATTCAGAGGATGCCTATCAACAAATGATGATTCCCATGATATTCTTGGAACTCTGGGAGAACATTCGTGTTGCATACCGACATTCCAAGATGGAATGCATGGTCAAGATCACTAATGTATCACATCTGCAACGAGCAGCTTCAGGCGAGCCCTTCATGACTGTAATGATTTGCTCTGGATCATTTAACCTCAAGAATTGCCAGGAAGGACGCTATCCACATGCAGGAGATCTTCTCCTTCTTGACCTTTGTGTGCAACAGGATATAACATCTTTTCGTCCTAACATGCGAAATGTGCAACATGTTTTTGGCCATCTAGCATATGCCAAGCATGGCTCTGTAAATGGTGATGAGATGAGCATGGATTTTACTATTCAAATCCCATATGTGGACAGCGTGATTGACATCACCCGACCAATCCGTTTTCGTCGTCTAAACTACATAAAGAGTGATGTCAGGCTCATCCACTGCCTAGAGGGTTTGAACCCACGACGTTTGCAACCCCTCTTGGTACCTTGTCACCAAGACTTTGCAATTCCAGAGCCAAAGTACAGGAAGTGTCATGTTTTGGGAGCGCTTAATGATAGACAGAAACGGGCTGTCCTGTCTGTCTCAGATCTGTGCGGCCATCATTCATCCAGGCTTCAAATATCCCTTGTTGCTGGAGCCCCAGGGACAGGCAAATCCCATTTCATTGACTGTCTTATAGAGCAAATTTTATACCAGTGGCGTTCATCTAGGCAGCGAGTCCGTATTTTGCTCTGTGCTAGCACCAATGATGCTGTTGATGACCATATGCATCGGCTCATTGATATCCACAGGATGCACAAAGATAAAGGCCATACTGGATTTCGTATCCTTAGAGTCGGAAACATGAAGAAAATTGATCCACGATTGAGGCATCTTGCATTGGAAAGTCTGAAAGTGCACCACTATAGGCAGAGAGTCAAAGAACTTAGTGATCCTGATATGATTCGATTAGAGCTCAACAACTTGCAGGCTCAAGAGAATAGGTATAAACTGGAGCTAGAAGTTGCCAAGGTGAATGGAGAAGAAGAAGAAGCAGAAGCTACAGCAACTAAGCTGGCTTACATAGCACAGAGACAAGAGGAAGCTGAGCAGCGTCTTCATTGCCCACCGATGACCTGTACTCCTGAACAATGCCAAAGGATATATAAAGATGTTGAAGATCAATTGTTGCTCAATGCAGAGGTCATAGCCTGCACCCTGTCCACAGCTCTGTTGCATGGGCTTGGAAGTTCAAGGGATGATATGGGCTTCACTGTGTGTATAATTGATAATGCTGGGGATTGTTTGGAGCCACTGTGTCTCATCCCACTCTCTTTTCAAGTGAATGAACTGGTGCTAGTTGGGGATCCACAAAGCATGTCTCCTACTGTGCTGAGTAAATTTGCTGCTGATAGGAATTATAGCCAGTCTCTCATGGAGAGATTACAACAGTTCCATCGGGTTTTCAATCCTGGTCACCCTGATCCTGTGATCATGTTCAATACTCAGTATCGAGTACATCCAGAAATCTGCAGATGGCCCTCTGAGTACTTCTACCATGGCCAATTAGTGACTGATTCAGTAACTGCAAGTGTTCTGCACTCCTTCCCCCTTAAGCCTTATCTCCTCCTTGACCTCTCACTCCCTGAGCAATATCAAACATTATCTCTCTCAGAGAAAGTGATTTCCCTCACTAATTTAGTCCAAGCTGTGAAGGAAGTTCTTGGTGATTGTAAGACTACATCAACTGTGATTGCTACTCCTGATGTGGAGCAGCGAGAGCATGTCCGCTCTGAGTTGGCCAAAAGGTCTCTTTCAAACATTGGTGTATCCACAATGGAAGAGTGGCCGCATGGAAAGGTGGTTGACATCATTGTTCTCTCCTGCTTCTTGCCCTCTGCCCAACATTCCCTTGCCAACTACTTATCTCATCCCAAAAAGCTTAGTGCTGCTTTGGTTCATGCCAGAAGTGCTCTTTATATCTGTGGGAATCTCCTGTGTCTCAGAGGAGAGACAAGTTGGAGTAACCTCATCCATGACGCAGAACAACGGGGAGTGAAGTATAAGTTTTCCAAGTCATCATGCTCTGTCAGAAATTTCAAGGATGTTATTAGCAAATCAAACACCCAACGAGATCCTCGAAGGAGGTAAATCCAGCTAGGTAGTCTTGATCTGTGCCTTTTTTTGTGCTGTTGTCCAAGCACTACTTTCTTTTGTTTCTTGAAAAGGAAGTGGTACCTAGAACTGGACTGAAAGATCTTTTCTTGTGTCACTCACCAATTGTCAACTTGACTGCATTATGGCCTTGATTCTGAGACAACTATTGGGTTATGGAGCTGGAAATGGAATTCCTTATTTTGTGAAATGTTAAATCCTTTTGGTTGTTGGCAACTGAGATAGCCTTTCTTGTTCAGTTACCTTTGTCATCTGGAGAAACTCAGGGACAGTTTGATGTGATGTGGCTAATGTGATTACTGTTAAAAGAGTCTCATTTACAGAGCAAAGGGTAGTGAAGGTTTTGCTTGGGTTATGGTTTCCTACAAGTTTCAATAAGTTTGTCAAAAGACGTAAGCCTTTCAAAGTGCTCTTGAGGAGCAGATGCAGAAGGTTTTTTTTTTATATTCAGGCAATAGGTGCAAAATTATTTTTTAAAATATATAATCTAGTCCCAACTATGCCTTTTTTTTCTCCTTTAGGGAGTATGAAACCTTTGGTACCTAAGAAAATGAATTGTTGTGTTGTTATAGAAAGAGTTGTCCGAGTAAAAAGTCAGAGTAAAACAAGTATTACTCACACACCTGAGGGTTTGAGCAGGAACTTTTCATGAGTTTGAATTTGACCTTAAGGTGTTCAAATTTTGTCTTTTTTTTCCAAACTTTCAGCTAATGTGGCTGATTTGTTTTTCTTCAGAGGTAGTCGTGTTTTTTTGGCTGTGTCCAGAAGCTCTAGTGATTGTAAATAGCTCCTTTAGATAAGAAAGAAGGAAACCTTGATTGTGTTATTCTTTAGAGATGGCTATTTGGTAAATGACAGTCTCATTGCATGTATTGGTCTTGAGAAGTGTTTCATGGGGGGGGGGGGAAATTGGCCCATAATACATATTCTTGAAACTATTTCATCGAGAACAGAAATGAACAGAAAATACATTGAGTTTGTTCATCACAATACAATTTATTTTCACCTCTAGGTTGCATCATCTTTCTGGATGAGAGAGAGAGAGAAGGTGTTTGACCAGTTTTTGTTGGATCCCTTAACACTTTGAGCCTGGAAATTTTAATGCACTATGGACATATGATGTCATATGATGACTGCAGGGCTCAAAGTGTTAACCATGAATCTCATCCCTGTTCCAAACTTTCTTGGATTCACATTCCATTTCACATAACTGAAAATTCATTGACTCCTGTTCTTCTTAACTTCATTCCCATGTTGCTCCTTCTCTTGGAGTGCCATCTTAACCAATTAATATAATAAAAAATTTTAAGTTCTGAAAAAGGGAAGTAAGCTGAAATAAAGAGTATAGGCTGAAAAATGTATTAAAATATATAAAATTTCATATTCATGAAAAAAAAAAGTATTTGAGTTGTAATTTCAGTATTATAAGCATGATGCCAAGTGTGAGAGTCAAAAGCTATAGTCATCACGCCTGTAAAAAAAAATAAAGGGACAACTCATGTTCCTTGTCAATTGATTTCTCATTGTGCCACTCTGAAAATTCTTTCCTTTCCTGCTGCTCTTGCACTAGGGGATAAGTTGAGGCAAGACTCCTATGAGACTCTCTTGAGACTGATGAAGTGGTGATTTTCCCATAATAACTATTTTCTTGATCCCTTTAAATGAAGCCTACATAGTGGCTTTTTTTTAACTGGGGAGAGCCAGGGGAGACTCTCGGCTGTGTCGGGACATCGACATTCCCAGAAATTTGGCAATTTTTTCATTTGTAAATCAATGTTTCTTTATGTATTTACCCGTTCAGGAAAGAATGGCTTTCTTTTGTATTTAGGGTTACCAGAAAACCTAAGAGAAGCTTATAATCTTGTTCTATCTTATTTTCTCTATTGATTAGGATTTGTGTCCTCATGGAACACTGTTTTGCAAAACATGAGTCAGATCCTTTTTTGCCCATGACCAGATTTTGCTGAGTCACTGAAATTGACATGTATCTTGCATTTGACCTTGTCAACCAAAACAGCCTAAATCATCATGTTCTCAATGAACTTCTGCCATGCTCAGATTACCCAAGAAGAATGTGGAGGCCAAACATGATGTAAGCATAAAGATTCTAATAAAGACTTGGAATAAAGTTCTCTTTGCAAAATCATATTTCCAGAAAATCCAGCCTGACCTTCAGGGGAACCACATGAACTATTGCATCAAAATGTAGATTGAAAGTTATCATCCTGGTTGGTTCCTTAGATAGGTATGCAAAGAAAGTCAACATCCATGACTTGATATTAGTAATATTGTGTTAATTTACTAGTAATATGTTAATTTCATGCAAGATTGCAACTGAGAAGCAATAAACAATCAGCTACAGAACAGGGCTTATGTCTGCCCTCTGATATCTGTTAATCAACTCTAATATTGTGCAGGTGACTTAGACCAGACTGAACAAATCCATTGACACAATCATAATTTAATGAAATTTTGTCTTTGTTCAGATTCAGATTTCCTCACACTACTGTATCTGTGAGAGAGAATTCAGGAGGAAAGAGAAATGTTCATTTAATAGTCACTGGACTTCAGGTATTTGTCATGGATGAGTTTTCACAGAGTGTGCACATTCAGGAAAAGCTATTGGCAGTTGGTATTGGCAGAAGGCAAATCAACGATCCTTTCTTCAGAGATGGAAATGTAGCATGTGGAAGAGCAGGTGAACCAAAACAGGCTGTAGAGTACAATCTGGAGTGTCCTTCATTGGATGAAGTTTGCTGGTGAGTATGGGCTTTTTTGGTAAATTCATTTCCTTGTCAGTTTATAGATCCTCTCATTCATGGCAGTTACTCAGAGCATTTATCTCTGCTTAGATTGGAAAATTCTAACAAATTTGATTTGGATATCAAACAAATTATATTTTCTGGATTAGTCAATGAAGTGAAAAAATTTTTTATAGCAATAATCCAAGTATGATGGTTTCCTATCTTGCACCCAGAAGGAAAACCTGAAGTTACAGACAAAGGAAACCTATTATATTTCATATTTGATGTGACAAAAAATGGAAGCTGATATATGTTGCAGTAGGAGGACAGTGGTAATGAGATGCCAAGAATCAGGTTGTGGATTGAGGTTTGACTCCATCCGTGAGTATGAGGAGCACTACAATGTCCGGCATAGGTGGGTGTGTTTGGAATGCAAGAAGCCTTTGCCTTCCAGTCATTTGCTTGAGATCCATGCATTGGAGAAGCATGACTCCCTCTTTAGTCTCCTGGCTGAACGGAAACCTATGGTTAGTATGGACCACACTTTTAGATTCTTCTTCCAGATCACTCTTGGACTAATTTATGGCCCTCTGGTGTGTTTCAGTATCAGTGCTTTATACCAGAGTGTCATGAGAAGTTCTGGGATGCAAACAAGAGACATGACCATGCTATCAAGGATCATAAGTTCCCACCCAACTTCCGCTTTGATGATGCATGGAAGGACAAAGCAAAGAAGAAACAAGAGGAGAAGAGATGGAGAAGAAAGATGGAAGTGGAAGGATCAGAAGATATGATGGAAGTGGCTGAACTGTCTTCAAAGGTGGAGAAGAAGGCACATAACCTCATCCCACGATCTGTGATGTTTGGACTCAAGAGCAAGCCAGGACTGTATAAAGGGAAAGGGAAGCATTGGCACCAACAAGGATGTGCAGACTCTAAGCCTCATTCAGCAGATCTTACCATGAGAGACATCTCTGAAGCCTTGCCTAAGCAATAGCTGTGATTTTTAAAATTTTTTTTAGCTGTGACAGCCTTAAGTAAAAGTTGTCCTCTTGTATATGCTACTTTTTCATTTTCATCTCCAGTCATCATCAGTGGATGGCATGACTGCAGAAGTCATGCTTGGAATTTTTTATTTCCTATCCACAAAACTGCTTTTATGGTGGGTGCCAACATTGAGTGGCAGCATAATTTCCATGTGCCATTTTGGAGGAAGAAGTGGCTAGCATATCTTGCAAAGAACGCAGCAAGCATACAAATTGAAGTTACCTGTTGTTTCAGAGGTTGTTGATCGACTGAATAGACAGAAGGCTTGTAGTATGAATTCAATCAAATAATTATTCCAGTCCAGAAATGAAAATATTGATCGACAGTGCTCCTTTGCAGAAAAACCTTTGAATACCCCTTCAGATGACATTTCTTCAATGCCAAGAACTTCTGAAGGGCCATGCACCTTTGTGCATGCCCCAGTAGATCCTGCTAGGGACCTACATGTAGGTGTTTTCATTGAATCACTAGTGGCAGCCTAAAATTGATCTTTTCCCAACCCCCCCCCCAGCTCCCCAAGCACAGGGTCACTTCACACACCTGCTAAACTGAAAAGGTAAACCATGGTTACTGGGAAGCAGAATAACTTTTTCCACCTCTGGTGAGGACCATTGAAATGTTATCTTGCATATTTAGGCAAGGGGTCTACAAAAATCCTGCCTGACGAAAACTTTTTTGAACCAACAATATTGATTGTGTCTTTTAGGTCACTACCCTGCCTTAGTATAAAGAGGATATTCTGAGTCCCATAAGTTTTTCATGTCTGACAGCGAAGTCCTCTTTCGTCGTCTGGATCCAGAAGATCCAGAGGCCACTGAGATAGAAAGTCTATGTGTCAACTGTGGAGAGAATGTAAGTGCTATTCCTGCTTCTGTTATCACATCTTGTTCTGATACAGTGATGATTACATTTCTCTCTTATGTTCCAGGGGATCACAAAGCTGTTGCTAACAAAAATTCCCTATTATAAAGATGTGATAGTGAGCTCTTTTTCCTGCCTACATTGTGGCAACATCAACAATGACCTCCAGTCAGCCAGCCCCATAGAGGAAAAGGGTGTTAGAATCAAGGTATATTTTTTTGTCAGGTGCACTTTTACATTTAAAAATCTTCAATGAAGGTGTGCAAGGGATTTCTCAATTTCATTTTCAATAGTTGAGAGTTGAGTCCATGCGAGACTTAAACCGTCAGGTCATGAAATCTGACTATGCTAGTGTCACCATCCCTGAACTGGATTTTGAGATCCCCAGAAAGTCCCAAAAAGGAGGTAAATCTAATTTGCACATTGTCACCAGATTGAAGGAGGATGATCAGTAATTTATTATCTTCTTTAGAAATCTCCACTGTCGAGGGGGTCTTGCAGCGTACTATCACAGGCTTGCAGCAGGAACAGCCTCTGAGGAAGTCCCTGGATGCAGAGAATGCTCAGAAGATTGAGGAATTCATCCAGAAGATTCAAGGGCTTTTGGAACTGAAGCAATCATTCACTTTGGTATGAGAGAGAAAGAGTGTGTGTCATTGAAGGCTAAACAGACATATACTTAAGCAGTCATTTATGTAATTAGCAGCATCCATTAACCTGAGTTTTTGAGGCATTGGTTGAATTAAACTGTATGTGCATATATGCATGTGTACTGCTTGATCCATTATGGCCTCATCTTAAGCAAATTAATCATATTCTTGTATTATGAAATCTTGTGTATCTTCTCACTTAGCAGTTGCTCCATATCTAGAAACTTCATGACCAACAACAAGATTTGCTTGTCATGAACAAAAGTCTCCATCAGACTCAAGTCTGATCAGGAGACCTTGCTGGCCAAGACAATTCCTGCTTGCAAATCTTAAAATCAGAATAGATGAAAAATCCAGTTATGAGTGGGGAGAGCAGTATTCACATGACCCAATTCAAAAATCCCAAGCCTCCAGATTTGCATTATATATTGGCCAGCTGCTTGAAATTGGCAATATTGAAATGTTTCATGTAGTTATGCATGTTTTATACACTTTCTAAGTTGCATGTTTGGATTTTTTGTTCAAAATCACAATAATCCCAACTTTCCCTTGGTTACTTCTCATTGGCATGTAATTGTGACTTAGAAGTGCCATTGTTGGTTGGGATGATTTGACACATGCCACCCCCCAGCAAAAGTTAAATTGGTTTTGCTGAAATTGATTACATTGTATCTGTCACTCATATGAGGCTCTCACACATTTTTTATGTGTGAGAGCCTTTTATGTTCATTTATGTTTTATATTTATTTTTATATCATATATGTTTTATACATGTAAAAAAAATTAAGGAGTGCATTTTTTTGTGCCTTGACTCATTATTAAAAGGTCATTTTTGTGAAGTTATCTTGGTTGCATTTCATGTTTGCAACTGCAGATAAGGGCCCATTAGTTTTGAAGAAGAGTTTCCTTTCGTTTGTTTTGTAACAAGGTACTCTGCAGATTCCTGGAAAATAATGCATTGTTTCAATTTTATTATGAATAGAGGATCAGTTATAACTGGAAGTCAAAGCTAAGAGATAATTCAACATAAAGTGAAACAAGACCTTATACAAAATATCTAGGAAAGGAATGCCTCAAAAACTGACCTATTATTTCATATGCTCTGAAGCTTGTGAAACTTAAGGTTCTGAATCCAGGTTGTATAAATCTGTTTTCTATAAAACCCTACTTTCTACATATGTGGTGTGATCAATAAGTTCCACAAATGGTTCTGTAACTCCATTATTATTTGATGGACAGGTGTCACTTCTCGTAGGTATCTTGGGTTGGGTCTTGGGGGTGCATGGGCGAAATTTCTTACTTATTTGTTTCCATTTGGATTATTAAGGAATTTGGTTCAAATGGACACTTTGAACTACTTGGCGAATATGTGTGAGGAATTTTTTGCACTACTAAAAAAATTTGAAGGGCCATCACATTTTGTGCGGAAGTGGGTGAATGTACCACACCTCAGAAACCTTGAAGGCATTCCACAGATGCAAAGGATTTGCAGATGTATTTTGCCCTTTTTATATCTCCCATTGAAAAGGAAATTACAAAATCAATTTATGCTTTCAAAAGAAGCAGCAAAATGTTTGTGCACATCCAGAAATACTACTTTTCTTTTCACCCATAGAGAAACCTCAGTGGTTTTGTTGTACTCTGAACACATAAGCATCAGAGAAGAGATTTTTTTCATTTGCATGTGATGACAAATTTTTTTCATCTTGCTGTTTTTGATCCGTCAAAAGATAGTGGATGACCCAAGTGGCTCCAGCTTTGTGGAGAATCCCTTGGCCCCAAGAACTGACCCACAGTTGAAAGTATCCTGGTATGTGCGATCGGAGGAGGACAACAAATTTGTTGGGATCTATCCATCAGAAGATGACACTTGCAACAGAGATGGAGAAAATGAAACCAGTAATGCCAGCATCAGTAAAGAGCAAATGGAAGGAGCAAGTAACGAGAGTGGTGACTGGAAAACAGAGGTCCTGGGCTTCAGGACTAACTGCCCATCCTGTAATGCTGTCTGCGAGACAAACATGAAACTGACTGGTATCCTTTCCAATATTACAGGGTCATGTACTTTTTGTGTGGGTTCCTCAGTATCTCTGATCATGGAGAAATCGAGACTCTTCGATTTATTCTGTTGGTGATTGTGCTGATTTCACAATTGGCAGCAAAAATTCATGCATGAAACTCCTCAAAATGTTTAATGTATGTGGGAATGAGCTGCTTCGAAGTCTTAATGATGTTTTGGAACTTTTCAAAAGCACATGATAACATATTACAAGTTTCATAACTTCTGACTGCATTCTAGTTTTTGAAGACCTTTTTAATATAACCATCTGTAGTCTTCCTTGACTTTCCCATTCAGATGTACCACATTTCAAGCAAGTTGTGATCATGGCCACTAACTGCAATGCCTGTGGCCATCGAACGAATGAGGTGAAGTCAGGTAGTGGAATCAGTGAAAAGGGAGTTCGCTTCACTCTCAACATGACAAATCCAGCTGTAGACTTGAACCGAGATGTCCTTAAGGTTATCCAATGTGGCAACAGCAAACATTTTTTTAGTTCATTCTGAGAATGCAATGAATTCTTCTGCATGCAGGCTGAGACGTGCAGCGTGCTCGTTCCTGAGTTGGAGTTGGATGCAGGACCAATGACACTGGGTGGTCATTTCACTACTGTAGAGGGTATCCTCACATGCATCAAGGATGGACTGTCTGATTGGAACCCTCTTATTGTGGGGGACAGCAGTCAGGACCAGAGTAAACGGCAACTGGAAGAGTTTGTTGCCAAGATTGATGATGTCATAGCTGGTCGAATGTCTGCTCACATCGTCTTGGATGACCCTGCTGGAAACTCCTATGTTCAGGTTAGGTTTCATTCTGTTAGTTGCAGTGAAGAATTAGGAGAGGATGAGTTGATGTAAGGATTCCATTGTCTTCTGATCTTTCCCCAGAGTATTAAAGATGTAAATGAAGAAGATTCTTCTCTGGAGGTGGTGCATTATGAGAGAAGCTATGAGCAGAACGAGGAGCTGGGCCTCATTGACATGAAGGTTGAAAATTATGAAAATGATGCTTCTTGATGATTGTGCTTTTTCTTTCTTAATTTTACAATGAATTATTTGAGCATTTGAAGGGCTGTTGAGTTTCTTCCAAAAATGTCAACCTGCTGGGAAACTAGCTGATGTGATGAAGTTCAGTTGATTATTGGGAACTCAGGTGTGATGTTTGCAGCACACTGCAGATGAGAACTGCATTGTGAGGGCTTGGAGGACTAGTTGAATTAAGTTACTCCCAGAATTGTGATTTCAGTATATTAGACTCCTGTGCTTCATATTATATGACTCCTTAGATGACAGGCCTAAGACCAATGAGATAGGATTGTACAGGAATGTCCCTGAACTTGTCTTCCACCTGGATATATTGGTCAATTGAAGATTTTCGCTCATACCCACTCACCATCTGGACTGGAGATGAGGCAAAAGATGACATCTTGCCCTTTGATGTTTACACTGCTGCCAGCATTGGAGCTCTCCAGGCTGTGAAGGATTGCATCACTAAGTGTGTGCTGAAGCTGTAGTAGAATTGAAGGATAATTTGCAAAGATATTGTCTACTTAGCTCTTTAATTTTTAATTATATATTGGGTGGCTCAAAAGCTGGCTTATAGAGAAGAGCATGTGGTATTGCATTGATGTTTGAATTGATGCCCCTGCACCTCAATGCCCTATCCCAGATCACTTATTGGCAGGCTGTACAATACATGTCCCATGTTGCCTACTAGGTGACTGAATCTCAAGGAACTCCAGCCTGGTCTAGAATTCCTCGTTCTCACCATAACCCTTCTGGTACCAGGTTTTTCATAGCCAGCAATGTAGGCAAGATCAAGCTTTTTTCATGTGAGTGGTCTCTTCAGAACTCAGATTTTTATTTGCTCTAAACATACAATACTCTTTAATATGTGGTCATTTTGGGTCATACTAACCATAGTAGTACCTGAGGGTGTGGTACCAGTATGATCACAGCAATTTTAATATAAAATTTGAGGATGTACTGATAAAGTTGTGATCCCTGAGGATAAAACTGTGCTGCTTTACATGTATGGCTCTGATACTGAATGAGTTAATAACATGATCCTTGATAACCCTCCAGAAGAAGTTCATAGGAGTTAGGTCTGGAGAAAAAAAGGGGGAAATGCCTCTGGTCCCCAGTGTCTGATGGAAGACAAAGGAGCAATGCATCTAATCTCTGCCATTTGCCTTACAAATTGCCAAAATTCACCACATAAACCTGCTTTTGGGCCACCCAATTTTCAGGGTATTCCATGTATCAGGTAATCCTGGAAGAAATGCTTGGTTCCTTATGAACTGCCATATAATTGGTGAAATTTTGTGTTTTGGTAGATGAGGAAAAGTTTTTTGACATTGATTTGAGTAAATCTCACATTTAGGGTGTACTAAAATGGAGCTGAAAAATCAATGACCTAATGTAACCAAATGAAGAAAAACTTTATTGAAGAGAGTCATGAGTAAAGCAAAATTCTCCCATTAATCTGAATGCCATTATTCCCTAGTTCTCACTTTCACTGGCTCTGGTCCCTTGGGACATTCTCCCCTTAAATCTGGACTTGCTAGCAAAAGAGGTGAAATACGACAAAGAAAATAATCTTTTACCTTTCCTTGAATCAGACTGCTCTCTTCAGAGAGATTTAAACCCTTTAATGCATGATGTAGCAGATATGCTACATTCTGAACCAAAAATATATTAGAACAATAAAATGTGACAAAGCAACAATAAAGGCAACAATTGAATGTTTGGCCCTTTGACTTACAATTTTGAGGAAGAATTTTTATTCTCATTTTTCCTATGTTCTAGGACCTAAATGAAACCTACCTGATTTTTTTGCAAAATATTCACAAATTAATTCCTTGAGTTTGTAAGCTGAATGTCCAAACATATATTATTCCACTTATTGTTGCTTCATAGCAGTCAACTGGCCAAAATAACTGAGTCAGTGATTTCCATTCCCAAGGAAAAAAGAAACGAAATAAAATAAGGCATTTTCCTGTACTCTGGGTGTGCACACTTTTCTTCTGAAAATAAAAATGAGAAAATTAGTGGTCACTCGAACAAGTTTTTGATTACATGGATGAACCATTAAATCTGGACAAATTCACTGGTCCCCTGAAGTCTGGATTAATGATAGTTGACTGTACTGCTCTTTGCACATGAGATGTAAGGCCAGTCACCTTTTATATTTTTGTAGCACTGTTCAACCTTGAGACCAATTTTAATTTGCAATCATTCTGAAGTTTGCTTCTTTGTATTAACACCCCTACAGTATAGCTTGTTGGGAAAAGGCTGTTTCTCTCTCTTTCTGGTTCCTTCTTGCATATTTAATCATGCTGCTGTTGCCTCAGCAAGGTATTGGGATGCAGAATAGTGTTTCTTTCATGGTTTACAGGAGAACATAGCAGGAATTTTTGGATGCCATCTGTCCCCTATGCATTTGCATCAGGAAAAAATCAAGAACAACTTTGAAAGTATGTGATTATTTTAAAAATATATAATTTTTAACTTTTGAAGAAACTTTATCCTGAATCACAATTAACTGAGTTGCTAGAGCAGCTCAGGATAGGATGAAGTGATGCATTTATAGGGATCAGAGCCTATGTCTTGCACTGGACAGAAAATGGCTGATGATGATGGATATAGCACGTGTGAGTGGCAAGCTGCCTTGCAATTCCATCCCTGCTGAGTTCATGGGAATTGGCATCTAAACCAAACTTCTGGGATTTATTTTGACTTTTGGTACCTATAACTGCTCTGATTAATAAGGCATAGCTGATTTAAAATTGGCTCTCTTTGTGGAACCCCAACATGAGCTTTTTTCCATATGTAGGAGGATGTCCATATGCTCGTGCCATTTCTCCAGAAAAGGAAGATTAGAGACATCTAATGCCTCAATTCATTCTCTTGCCAAGAATGGCATTTCCTCCTCTCATCTCCTAAGGGAAAAATATTTTTACTAGGGTTGTCACGATAGATCGATGCATTGATACCACTATCGATAGTTGGAGATATCGATAGTTTTTTCAACCATCGCGATGCATTGGCAAAATATTTTAAAGGGGAAATGTCCCATAGGATTGTAGCAAGTACTGTACAATACAGTCAGTCCGGGTGGGGAAAGAAAGAAGCAGTGTGACCTGCATGGGCTTGGAATTTCTTATCACAATCAAGTTCTGGAAATGCTGGGATGGACTATATGAAAGACTGGAAGGGAAAAAAAAAGTCAGATTGAAGACAGGAAGTGGGAAAGGAGAGGGGGGGAAGCCCAAGAAAATTTATTATTATCGTCAGTTTCAGTCTCCGGCTTGATCTCATGAGGTGCATTCTGCAGTAGTGGACTGTTCTCATACTCCCTTCATTTCGAAACGTACATTGGTATCCCCTCTCTATATTCCTGTCTATCACTTTAGTATGCAGGCTTAACTTTCTTAACTTTTAACTTGCCTTGGGGCGTTTTATCTCTACTTAAGGTGAAATCAAAGTGAATTTTTTAATTGGACGTTGCTTCTTCTAAGGCTGTACCGTTGTTTCGTCAACCGCCAGTATGGCACCATCGGCAGGTTTCCTATCTGCCTGTGCCGATGTCCAAAGACAGTGTAAAATGAAGAAAATTAGGGCTGTCCTGATGCATCCATTGATGAATGGATGTCATCTTCGATATTTGAAGGCATGGTAGGTTTCATTACTCTTTGCGAAGGTCACACATTCCCCTTGAACCCCCGATCACAAGCATGAGATTATGGAAGCCGGATAGAGGTCCGCGCTCCGATCGCGGAGAGAAAAGATGAAATCGTCCGGTGCAACCCCCCCCCGATGCATCAATGTTTTGAAAACTGCTATCGTGACAGCCCTAATTTTTACAGAGGTCAGCTACGCACTCTTACGCCAAGAAAGGAGCTTCATGTATTTGCATGTCATTAGAAAAAGTTCTAAAATTGTTGGAAACTTATGTCCAGGGCTGTAGTTATGAATTTTCAACCAAATTCTTCGCAGAGCAGCTCAATTCCATGTATTCCAGTAGTTATAGGGTGATATTATTATAATGTTATATTTCATAGTTTCATGCTGATAAAATGTGGCTGATGTATGGTACAAAAATCATTACTTCTCTCCTTTACAAATCAAATTGATAAAATTGATAGAAAAGACCTGAGATTGGAGATCAGGGCATGTGGGAGACATCTACCATCAAAGTTATGCACCTGACAGAGGATGACAAAGGCAACTGAAGATATCTAAAAGATGTCCCAAATACGTCCCTTTTGAGATATCAGAAACCGTCGGACTGTAGATGTCCTTAGGATGTAGGATGTCCCGTAAAGACCTTGGGACAAGTTGCCCAATTAGGGACATCCCTGGGAGGTCACCATGGAATGGTGAAAATAATGTGGAATGTGGCTCTGTGGAATATGACAACCTGCCACTTGCCCACGGGTGGGGCATACAACATAATATGTATGAAACTACATAACCCTAATTTTGACTTTGAAATCTCCAGATTGTTACCTGAGGACATCTGTACATGAAAAAGCATTGAATCTTCCCTTAACCCTTTTAGTGCTGTGGACTGATTTTTCAGCCATGTGTACTTCTGCTAAAAATGCCGTTTTGTGCAAGGTCTTCCATGGTCTTGGCCAATAGTCTGCATCAGAGTATCAAGTCATTCTCAGAGTTTGTGATCAAAGGACAAGTACTTGGATTATGCCTAGGCCTTTACCTTAAAAAAATTGATCTAGCTGTGAAGAACTTCCTTGAGCAAGGCAGAGGCTATTTTTTCTGGCAGGAACAGGAATAAATGTTAATACCAGAAACCATGAAACTCCAGTTCTGGAAACTATGTGTTGCATTCCTCATTATTCAGAGTACTTATGGAGCTACCTAGTCGCAGAATTTACCTCTGAAACATGATTGATTACTGTTTAATGTTCTAACTCATGCAATCTATATGGTAAAGTCTATCTTAGCGATGAGTTGTTGACTGATCGACATGGTCATCTATGATCATATACAATCATAAGGCCTCACCTCTTGTTGGGCTGGTTGACCATTATCTGTAAATGGTCAGAAGTGACCATGTTAACCAGTCAACTTCCCATGCTTAGTCTATCACTTATGAGTCATGGCATAAAAATGGAGCACAAACTGTACAGGGAAAAAATAAAATAAAAGTCGGCCTTATTGACCATAATTGACCATAGTTGACAATATTGGCCAGTCAATGACCCATCCCCATTATCATGTTATAAATGTGTCATATACAGTGGCTCACAAAAGTAATGCAACACCTGCTGGTTTTCACAAAAAGTCAAATTTTTCCACTCACAAAAAAGGACAAATCACAAAAAAAGGTCAGAATCGGTGTTGCATTGCTTATGGCACTTAGGCCACAAAGCACAATTATCGACAGTTTGTTTATTCAGAGCATCTCAATACATGCCATAGGCACTAACATGTTCACCAACGTGTGTAAGCCGCCTTTGGCCATGATCACGTCTTTGATTCTGGCATGGTGGAGATCAGCTTGGTACAGACCTCCACCTCGAGACCATTCCAGACATCTTGAAGTTGGTCCCAAAGATCTTCTTGACCTTGGATCAGTCCAGGCAAGCTTCACAGATGTCGATCTACTTTGTTCCAAACGTGTTCAATTGGGTTCAAGTCTGGTGATTGGGACAGCTAGTCCAGGACATGCATTTCCCTCTCCATGAACCACTCCTAGGTCTGCCCCGCAGTGTGCTTGGAGTCATTATTGTGCTAGAATACGATGTCTGGCACATGTAGATTATACCTGACTAAAGTATCCATCAGCTGTGTCCTAAAGAGGAATGACCTAGACACAAGAATCAAGAGGAAGAAGCCCCTCTTGAAGAAGACCCACCAGAAAAGGCGCCTCATATTCACCAAGAAGTATGCCAACTGGACTGTTGAAGACTGGAGGAAGGTTATCTTGTCTGATTAGAGCAAGTTTATGATCCATGGTTCCCATGGATGCAAGTACTACTGGAAAAGACCAGATCAAGCCTTAAACGATGCTCATGTGACCCCTACAGTCAAGTTTGTCGATGATAGCATGATGGTCTGGGGCTGTATCACATTTCAAGGAGTCTACCTCTGCCACATCATTAATGGACTGGATGGTGAGCTTCATTGCAAGATCCTTGACGATGACCCAATGGATACTTTAGTCAGGTGTAATCTACAAGTGCCAGACATCGTATTCTAGCACGATAATGACTCCAAGCACACTGCGGGCAGACCTAGGAGTGGTTCATGGAGAAGGAAATGCATGTCCTAGACTAGCCGTCCCAATCACCAGACTTGAACCCAATTGAACACGTTTGGAACAAAGTAGATCAACATCTGCGAAGCTTGTCTGGAATGGTCTCAAGGTGGAGGTCTGTACCAAGTTGATCACCATGCCAGAGAGAATAAAAGATGTGATCATGGCCAAAGGCAGCTACACATGTTGGTGAACATCTGTTAGTGCCTATGGCATGTATTGAGATGCTCTGAATAAACAAACTATCAATAATTGCACTTTGTGGCCTAAGTGCCAAAAGTAATGCAACACTGATCCTGACCTTTTTTTGTGATTTGTCCTTAGTAACCATAATGCCTGACAAATGTATCTGCAACTATAGAGCACATTGAGCTCTACCTAAATGTACTGGCAAGTGAGGGCTGATCTCTTTTGTGAGCGGAAAAATTTGACTTTTTGTGAAAATTAGCAGGTGTTGCATTACTTTTGTGAGCCACTGTATGTCATTACATGATGGCCATGGCTATAGAATGTTTGGATGGAATGTCTACAGGGTGACCTAAAAAAAAGGGCACTCTTTTCAACATGCATTTTAGGCTGATGCTTTCAAGGATATATTTTCTGGTTAAATGATATGAAAAGAAGAAAGTCTTAACTACAAAATGCTTTTTTAGGACTTGAAATACCTTAAAGGGTAACTTAGAAAAAAATATTGAATTTCAGTTATGAAAAATCAGCGTTGCACTCACCAACTTGAGACAACATTCACTTGATGTCCTGGCATTCATGGAAAGGGGAAGGGAGATGCAGACCTCAGCAGACATCGCAAAGATGATTGGATGTGCCTGCCACCGTATGCGGTCGGCGAGTGCAACGGCAATTTTTTGTAACCAAAATTCAATCATTTATTTCAAAGTCACACTTAAAGATATTTCAAGTCTGAAAAGCATTTTGTAGCAGAGTCTTTCTTCTTTCCATTACATGTAATCAGAAAAAAATATTCTTGAAAGCATCACACCAAAAATGCGAGTTGAAAGGAGTGCCCTTTTTTTTAGGCCACCCTGTATATCTCTCCTTAGTTACATGATTCTCATTGACTCAAAGATGGTATGTTTGGACCTCATTTCATTCATCACAGTCTTTTTTCAACTATTTTCAACCTGACCATAAGAATATTCAACTTCTGTGATCATTTGGCATGTCAAAACTCAACATTTTGCCTTTTTGATGAAGTGAGGGATGCCCATTGCAAAAAGATAAAAAAATTTAGGAAGGGGACATGTACCTGTACCATATATATTTAATAATCATTCTCAGAGTCAAGTGTACTGAAACCCCCCAATTTCAGTGGCAATATCACTCCTCGCCAGATCCAAAAATCCAGAACAGGTGGAGTAACATACATAATCTTGAAGGGCTTGATCCAGGGAGGCTGTTGGTGTATAGTTTACTTTGTTTTGAGCAGTCCTTCCTACTTTTCTGCCCACCAGAAGTTGACCCATCTTATCACCATGGTCATGCCTATTGACACCTATTGGACAAAATTCTAATAGCAAGCAAGCGATCTGCCCTCTACTTCGTTGAATGTGCACTCTAAACAATCAGAGATGCCAAGCGGGAGGAAGAGGTTCTGCTACAAAGGCAAACTTTATCGTCGTGCTTACTGTAAAAGCCATGACCAAGTTGACTGTGTTGCTAAACTTTCTGCCTTTTTGCCCCTGAGAGTGATTACCATATCTCTAGAAGTTTTAAGTCAATTTTCAGACAAATACCTCCATTAGATTCCTCATATCGCAATACCTATTCTCTCAAAGTTTCAGGTTTATAGAGAAATTTCCAGATCTGTCCTCAATCCAGAGTGCCACTGACTGTGGTACACTTGACTCAGAAAACTGTTGTTAAACACATCATAGGTAACACCCAGCCACCCCCTTCTGGAACCAGGCATATGCAACAGGGCTCACCCAGCTGCATAGCTTTAAGGAAACACATGATCACTCCATAAAGTTAAAGGAAGCATGCAACCAAGCCCCAATTTGTTATCTTGTGACATTGGAATGATCTCAGACAAGCTCCATGAGTGGGCAACTGGGTGTTACCCATGTTGTGTTTAAATACAAGCAAATATGGACATAGGAGAAATTTTGTTTCCTCCAGTTCATGGAAGTAACTCTCTTCCTTTCTTGCAGAGATCCAAATCTTGCAGAGAGGCCAAATCGAAGTGGATGGACTCCTCTCATGTATGCCTGCTATTACTGTCACCATGACATCATTGAGTACCTGGTGGTGACTGCTGGTGTGGATGTGAATCAGGGAAACTCCCGTTGTGAGACTCCTTTGATCCTGGCCACCAAGTGTGGACATGTCAAGGCTGTCTCCTTCCTTCTTCAGGTACCCTCACTCAAATTGGCTGTGCAATATTCACTCAATCCCCTTTAGTTCAAGGGAGTAGTACTTGTCCATAGATACTCTCCTGCTGCTCAGGTTCAGTGCTTCACAATACTACTGTATCTTTCCCTCGAGTCACACTTTCTCATTTGACTTCAACATTCATGCACAAGGAACATCCCATGCACGAGTGTCTGAATCAAGTGAAAAATTGTTTGCCTCAAATAAAAACATAGCAAGAACAGGTGCACAAATACAAAACATCTTGCCAATTTTCTCCCAATCAAATAAGCTCATGTTATAAAAAAAATCCTGACACCAAACTGTGCAGTAGGTTTTGATACACAGGCTTGTTGGCTGTTCTAGAAAGTGATAACAAGAACAATTTTTAGATCTGCTTGTTTGTGAAAGTCATGCATTGCTGCCTTTCTTTTCCCCATGCCAGTTGCACTGAAATTGATCCAGAAATATCATGTTTCTTGCCTAGAGATGCATTAGAAATAACTAGTTATTTTTTAAGAGGAAAATTCTCTAGGTATGCAAGTCTTTTGTGATTTAGTTTTTTGAAAGTACTTCCAGTCAGGATTAAATGACCAACAATAAGTACTCTCAAGCATCTAAATCTAAAGTATGTAATTGTAAGCTAAAGAGTACATGCTTTTTTCCAAATAGTACTCTTTTACAAAAAGAAAATACAGAACATCTCAAAAGTAGACTCCTGTCAGGGAAATGGAAAAACATCTGCAGAGTTAAGTCTAGTTCATACTCCAGCTGTATAACACTATACTTGCACTTGGGCATGCTGGATGCTAGTTTCAATACACAGGAGTCTGTTAACGGGCAGCAAAATTGCATGTTACTTCCAGCAGACGTAGCACTGCATATATACTGCATGTTCCACTGAAATCACAAAAATAGGAATGGTTTCTATTTAATCCAGCATGCTGCATCCAGCTGTTCTACAGCAATTTTCTTGCTGCATTGGAGGATTGCAGTCTAGAAGTTGCACATTCTGGATTGGGTGTTACAGAACCACATGCAGTTGTAGTATCCAGCATGCTGCATAATACAAGTATGTCTAAACTTTACATTGCTGCTTATTTTATTTGTTCTATGTAGCTGCAGGACATGCTCAAAATGTCATCTTTCCATTTTTTTATGCTCCTGTTAGCATTTCAGTCAATTCTATGCACCACTTTACCATGCATCTGCAAAAGTACTTGTGCAAACATGTGAAATGCATGGAACAAGTATTAGTCATATCAACTTGGATCCTACAACACATTGATGTGGTTCCAACTGGAGCAAGTCTTATACTGGAGTGAATCTCTTTGAAATCCACTTCAGTCATGGCTTTAGTTATCTCTTTTCTGTTGTTACACTTTATTGAGGAATCATTGTAGCATGTCCATGTGAAGTGTTTTGTAATGCTTGTTTCCCTGGAGAATGGAGGTCTTATGGAGATGAGGGATGAAGAAGACTGGACAGCTTTGTTCCATGCTGTCTTTAGCTCATATTTATCACTGGTGGAACTCCTCCTGAAACAGGGAGCCAATCCTAATGTCATGTGAGTCACCTCAGATGGTCCAGTGTCCCCATGATGGCACTTAGAATGGTGATGTTTTTCTTAGGGTGCGGAAGAATTTTCTCACTCCTCTGATGCTGGCGGCCGAAGCAGGCCAGGGTCTAATATGTCAGCTGCTCCTTCAGCACGGCGCAAAGGCAGGCACCGTGAATGCCAGAGGCCAAACAGCCAGATCCCTTGCCATCATGAATGAACACCATCATATTGTTACCATTCTTGATGAAATGGCAGAAGAACAATCAGGTGTGTAAGATCTCCTGCCTTTTCTGTCGACTTGATAACAGGACAGGAATGTTATGGAATGCCTTCTATCACAGAATCACCCAATTATAGAACTAAGGATGAATGCAGTGAAGCCAGTTAAAAAATTGTTACCTGACTGATGGTAGAACAAATGGAAAATTTAAGTAGATCTCAGATGGTAGGAAAGTATCAAGATATACATTTGAACCACTTCATATTCTGTACTCTTCATCCTGTTTTACGTTGCTTGAAGAGGTTCTTCTAACAGTTTATATGTAATCTCGTGATTATCTCCTGATATTACAGAGATAATGACCGAATCTCAGAGTCTCAGAGAGAGTCAAAGTCACACGGAAGCTGCTGCTGCAATGGCAAGGGCTCAGAGTGAGTTGCAAAATGCCTCACTCTCCAAAAACACTGCAATCACTGGTTTTTCACCCCTGGACGCTCCCAATTGATCCAGGGGAGTCGATCTGTGATTTAGAGAAGCTGCTGAAGGCCCTGGATCTCCTGTCGTATCTCCCCTTGTTCGTCGAGGAGGACATCGATCTCCAGATCTTCCTCACTCTCAGTGATCAAGACTTCAGGAGTCTTGGTATAACGTGAGTTTATTGTATTTACTCGCAGCCATTCTCTTAACCCTTTGAGCCCTCACCACCGCTTTACCGGTGGTAGAGAGAAATGACGTATTGCCTGATTGGCACACAAAGAAAGAATTCTGGCGTTAAAATGAAGGTACGTCATCCTGCTATTTGCATGCAAACAACCCGATAGAAGAATATCGAAAAAAATGGTCAACGCATTTCCCGCAAAGGGAACGTAGCCGCACTTCATGGGCATGCCAGAACTATCTCTGCTTGACCTATTCAACTTTTAACGAAGTGTTGTTCTTAACAACAGCAACATCCAATCAACTGGCACTTGGCGTTTTCTAAGGGTACTTTGAAAATCCTTTAAACTGGCGCGTGGCAATGAGGGTGTTAGAGCAGGGGTGCACAACATACGGCCATGACTGGTGGCGTTTGTAAGTGCTACCATGGCTCCTACCCTGTTGGCCACAACTATGGTCAGCCAGACTGCGGCCCGCGGTAGGCTTTGTTAAAATCGCCAATGGCCCTCACAATCTATTGAGTTGTGCACCCCTGTGTTAGATATTTCCTTTTTACAGAGGGTGCGGGAGTCAAAATTATATTACCTACATTCCCAGCTAGTGTTCCTTGCACAAGAAGACACCCCCTTGCTTTTAATTATCTCTACCTTATCTCAATGCAGTCCAATGCAGGAAAGTATATATGCTGCATGTCGACTCATTCCAAGTCCATGTCTTCATAAGATGGATCTTGAGAAAATACCCTTGTGGAATTGAGCGGAGAATGAGGTACAGGGGGGGTGGTGTACTGTATGACCCCCATCTCTGAGCTGGGGCGTATACAGTGTACTTTTCTTCTTTTTTTTTACTGTAGTCTGGTTACAGTTTTCCCTCAAGTCATGCCAGAAAAAAGTAGTGTAATTTGAAGCTCTGTGAGATTCCTCTCTATTGGAAGAGATGAATCCATTCTACGTAGAAGGATTGTTGATGGGTCCCTCTGTTTCTCATTCTCGATGTGTATTTTGCTGAAAAAAAACCAAACAGGAAGTTGGGTCCTCGTCGGAAGATGACGAGCGCCATCGCCAGGTGGCACGCTCACGCTCCCCTTGCTGCCGGTCTGGAGCGAACGTATGCCGATCACCTAGAGGCGGAGATCCGCAGTCTCGAGGATCGGCTCCGGCACGCGGAAAAGGCGGTCGAGAAACTCGCTTCTCGGGTTCGTTTATGTCTTTGTGGACCTTATTTGCTGTTTTGCGCTGCATTATACAGTCGGATTTCGTTGTGCCTTTTTTATCGTTTGGGAGCAGCTGGAAAAAGAGGAGAGGGACAGGAAGAGGGCCGAAGAGAGACTGGCCACCTGCGAGGGGGGCGTGCAAGACGCTGCCAGGGAGTTGCAGTTCATCACTCAAAATATCATCTCTGAAGGGGACTCTTCCCGTGCGATGGCACTCGTGCGGATCCACGACGCCCTTTGCGGTTCTCTTCCCGTGCATCGACAGCACGGTGAAGTGAACCCGTGATGTCGATCGCGTCGTGGTGTCGTCTTTCGGAAGGAATCAAAGACACCTCCTGTGTACCGAGATCTTTAATTTTGAAATATACCGATGCAAGAACTGTATAAAGAGGTGTTTTTTTTTTTCCGAAATATATACACTCGAAAAGTGAAACGGTCAATTATAAAGTGACGAGGCGATATCGGTGCGACCGGGTTCATCCATCGGGCCCCCGCTCGATCCGGCGGAGGATTGCATCGAACTGGAGGAAGTGAACAATGCCAACGGTCCGGCGATGAAGACGACGGGCAGCAAAGCCATCAGGATCAGTGGCAGGATCGTCTGTGGGAGGAAATCACGGCGTTAGAAGAATTGTTTTGGTCGAATGCGATTAGCAGCGACGAAGACTGCTCCGTTTCGATACGGTTGAGAGGATTGAAAAGTGGTTGTGCATACATGGTTGCCGTACTGATAGCAAATGAATGAATGCAACATTAAATGCAAAATTCAACTCAATGCGTTGAGTTTTTTTTTTCTATTCGTAAGGATTCTTGAGACCCGTTGTTAGGGTGAAGTGGAAATTCAATGCAGGATCTTGTAGGAACGGAACTTCTAAATCAGATGTCGAACTGGCTGGCCGGATCCGGTCCGCGAAGTCCTTTTCAGCAGTTCGTTACGGAAAAGTACTGCAAATTTCAGTCCTTCGTTTAGAACAGGGGTGTCAAACTCAATTAAGGCTGGGAGCCGGATGAAAGCCTTCAGGGGTCATTAGGGGCCACGATAAACATCGAACATCAAATCT